AACAATCATGTACAGTACGTACGGTTGGGAAATCTAAGATACCGGCATGTCATGCGTGACATATGTGCTGTATATATGGTGAGCATTTAATTAATGTATGGTACCTCATTTAGACACAAGAGGGCACTGTTGTTGTTCTACTGTTGATAACAGTGTAGGGAGGTTCGTGAAGGGTAAATACGTATATACATAAATCATCCTCATCCTTCTGAGAGTACGCATGCTAATAAAAATCTTTATAGCATATTTACTGCGAGCCACCATATTCTTGGCTCGCAGGTGGACTTTCATCATTTCATTAATTTCAATTTTATTTATAGAGCGCATTTCATGCACAAAGCAAACTTAGTGTGCTTTACAGACATCACGTTATTACGTGAAAGTTATCACGAAATACACTGGTCCCTCTCCTATCGCAGTCGTTGCTTTTCAAGACCCAAGAAATGGGAAAATTCGCTTAGTAGAGTCGAGATAGTTATTAATGATTTAGGTATATACGTATTTACCCTTCACGAACCTCCCTACGCTGTTATCAACAGTAGAACAACAACAACAGTGCCCTCCTGTGTCTAAATGAGGTACCCTACATTAATTAAATGCTGACCATATATACAGCACAAATGTCACGCATGGCATGCCGGTATCTTAGATTCCCCAACCGTACGTACTGTACATGATTGTTTTTTTAATGTATTACCTTGTACTGTATGTATGTGTGGCAAAACGTCTTAGATATACTTTATCTGTGTCTCTTTCTCGTGAGCACGAGATACGTTTCTTTTTTCCCCCCCATGTCCCTTTAGAGGCTCCGTATGAAACATATATGTGCCTTTGATTTTATGTCTTCCTGTTTCAGCACGATACAGAAAAACACAAAAATGTGAGTTGATGTATTTACAAACAACTTTATTAAGCAATTACAATAAATAAGATTGAATGACTTACTTTGCCACGCAGTTTTTTTTCTGGAGGTGCTAAAGTTAAAGGTTAGAACTTTTAGCTTTACAGACTTTCTCATATGAATATTTTACTTTAGAATTAAGACTTCTTCTTCATCAAACACAATCATCTCCCTGCAGTTATGTCTTTCTGTCCCAACAACATACAGGAAAAAACAATTGTATAAAGTGTATATTAAAAAGTAAGTTAATGTATCTGCAAACCATTTTATTTAGCAATTACAATTAATTAGACATGGTTCAGTTTTTCTCAGCGTGTGGTAATTTTTAATAGTTTTCAGTTTAAGTTTTTCATGCACAAAGATTAAAGGCTAGTCTATTTTGCTTTACAGGCTTTCATATATTCTAAACATTTTTTCAAAATTTTGAATTCTAAAATACACATGTAAAATAAATCAGAGAACATTTAATCCCAAAGTTACAAAATAAAAATGATGTGCTTCATGTGGAAAACAATAAAAAATAAAAAACTATGCCAAATATCTGATATTGGATGTTAAACATATGCATTTGAAGGCCAAGAGAATAAGTTGAAACAGCAAGGCATCTTCATAAAAGCTAGGGATTCCCAAAGACAAAGACAAAGATGTTTACTGTCTACAAAACAGTTTGCAGAACTAAACAATGTATTTTATATCTGTATAGTATTGATTATTCATATCGCATCAATGATGCAAAATGAAAATTAACTTGGGACTGGGCATAAACGGACAATGACTGATTATTATTACAAATTATTACAAAAGCCTTATTTCTTGATCCAAAGTGATTTAACATTCAGAGTTTTCACTATGTCTTGTCTATAAAAAGATATATTTAAATATTTAGATTTTCATAATAGAATTTGTAAATTTCATTTAGTAAATCAGAGTGAAGTCCAAAAAAATTAGAGACTTCAGCCAAGGTTAGCATTTAGTCTATTTAGAGTAAGATAAAATAAATAAAAGACAGTACATAGCTTCAACTAGGACACATCTCATTGTGGTTTCTTATACAAACTACGAACACTGTTTTTAATGGCAGCAAAAAATGTTTCATCCCTGAGGCCATAAATCAGAGGACTTAGACATTTGGGCGCAAGAATGAATATGATGTAGTTCATGTATCTGACATTGACATACAGCCAGAAATCAATTTGAAAAACAGCAGCCTCAATGAATGGACACCAGAACTGGAGAAGACACAACAGCAGCTGAAAGCCATGAAGAACCACTGTCCTCAGGCCTCGCCATGTTGATGTTCTGTTCTCTGCTGACGCCAGTCTTGCCACGTACATGATCTTCACATAAGAGACCAGGATGATGACACACATTAACAGGAAGCAAAACTGACTGACGGCAGATCTGACATGACCCTGCCAAGTGTAAAGAATGAAATTCTCCACAGCACAAACTTTGCTCTGTCTGAGGAACTTGTGTTGCAGAGATTCAGAAAAAATAGAGAGGAAAATGATGCAGGGCACAGAGCTGCAGCCCTGGATGATGAGGAGGCAGTGCAGAGCACTCCTGGTGGTGCAGAGCTCTGCATGGCGTAGTGGCATACAAATGGCTATGTAGCGCTCCAGTGTCATGGCTGTCAGAATGAATGGAGTGAAGAAGGTGGTCACTGACGACCCTATGTAGATGATGAGGCACAGCCACATGTGTATAGGATATCGGTAGAACGACATTATAAGCAGGAGGTCACTGAGGATTAAATACAGACAATCAGATAAAAGTGAAGCTGCAAACAACATGTAGCGCATGGTGGTGCGAAAGGCCTCCTTCAAAAAGAAGATGGCAATCAGCAAAATATTAATGCAGAGAAACAGTGCCACAAAAAACTGTACAA